TAAATATCAAGAATGTTTGTTGGCTTTAATTGGTTCTCTTTTCAGCTTCTAGTGAGATGATCAAATGATATTTATTTGACCTACTGATATGTGGCACCTGTAATTATAAGAACTTTAAGAAGCAGAGCAGTTAGGTATTTTACAGACAAGAGGAATGATGCCAATGTGGGGGCTTTTCAAAACATGTTTAGAGGGCTGCCTGCTTAGAACAGAGGGTGTGTCTAAGGGAGTGTGATGGTCAGCTTTGGAAAACGGCGTGAAGCCTTTGTGAAACCTTGTAAGGGAGTAAAGAGTTTAAGCTTTAAACTACAGGCAAGATGAAATTACTGCAGAATTCTTGGTAAAGGATAACTGTAGAATATAAGAGGATTAACCCGGTGGTGTGGTAGAAGAAGAAAATAAAGCAAGGAGAGGAGTTGGATGCGCAGGGGTGAGATGATAATGCTCTAATGACCCTAATGAGGAAGAAAAGAAGGAGAGTCCCTAAAAAACCAGTGTGGCTCTGTGATGAGTTGAGATGTAGAAAGGATCATAAATACCAGCATATTACACTTCGGGGACAAACAGGAGGCCTAAAGTAGAAGATAACTCTTGGGTTTCGATTAATGTCCCAGTTGTGCAACATTAGTTAGGAAAACAGGAATAAGAATACATAGGGGGGCTTTTCTCTGAGCAAATGATGGCATGTTGATAGATGGCAAAGAGAAAACACACATCAGTTTTTATTTTGCTTCTAATAGACAATGTCAAGGAGAGTGATTTCCAACTAAAGGTAGGTTGTAAGGTAGAACAAATATGCTGTCAGTTCCCAGTGGGTGAAGAGATTGTAGGAAAGCATGTATCTGCTCTGGGTGAACTATGCCCCAGGAAACAGAGAGAACTTTTTTTTTTTTTTTAAGGATTTCATTTATTTATTTGACAGACAGAGATTACAAGTAGGCAGAGAGGAAGGAAGAGAGAGGAGGAAGCAGGCTCTCCGCCGAGCAGAGAGCAGAGAGCCCGACGTGGGGCTCGATCCCAGGACTCTGGGACCATGACCCAAGCAGAAGGCAGAGGCCTCAACCCACTGAGCCACCCAGGTGCCCCCAGAGAGAACTTTTAATGATATCTGTGCATCTTTGTTGTTGGCCTTGGAGAAAGCTTGGAGAATGTGAACATCGGTTAGAGAGAAAGTAGGGGAGGTTGTGTGTGAGCAAATGAAATTCCAAATTTCAAAAATGTGGATTTCAGAAACTGCAAACCAATGATTTTAATGTCATTTTGGGGCAAGATCCTAGGGTAACATTCAGAAGGGTTGTGGACGAGATCCTAGAAGAGAAAGTAGGATTATTAGAACTTTATATAGGATTATTAGAACTTTCATGTGAAAAACATGACTGACCGTGTGATAGTGTTTTTAAATTTTTTTTTTTTTTTTATTGGTTACTTGACTGTTAGATTAAGGAGTCACAGGACTGCAGAGGAGGACCATGGGATGAGGGGCAAGGCACATCCTTGGAAGCAGGCCTAAGGCACAGGCCCAGAGAAAAAGGTTAAAAAGGAAGAAGGGATGAAATAATGGAAGAGGGAAGACAGGGATACAATGAAAAGGTTCCTTCATTGCCAAGTGGGTAACTGTCTGGGCTTCTAGGGGTCTCCCAGGCCCCTCCTGCAGCTGGCTCTCAGGGAAGGGCAGAGCTGGGAATCGGGAGACGGGGGCTCTAATGATGGGTGTGCCCCAACTTGCCGAGTGACCTTGTAGGTATCATTTCACCTTTCTGCCTCCTCCCTATAGTCAAACACAGACATCCTGTTAGCCTAAAAGTGCTTCTGGGCTTTACAGAATAAAATAGCTCCAGAAATTTCAGACATGATCTGCATGTGCAAAGTGTTTGCTCTTGTTGCCACATTTTCACGGTTGGGGGAGAGAGGGAAGTGGTGGGAGGAGGGTAGAAAGGAGGGTGAGAAGACACTGTGGCCAAGTCCCTTGGCTCCACCTCGACATCCTAGGGAACCCAGGGGACCAGGCGCTGGCAAACGGCACATGCCCACAGCCTCTTCACTAGCCGGGCACCCAAGAACCTAGCGGACATCCTCAGGCTCTGCTATTCCTTTCAGCAAATCCCATTGCCGCATCCAGGGACGGAAAGCGAGGCACGCCCCTCCCCCCACTAGATGGCACTGAAACGCCTCGTTCCAGATTTTCAAACTGCAGGGAGGATGAAAAAAGACAAAAAGAATATGGTGGAGGTGCGCTCTTTCTGGCTCGCAGGCCCCGTTGTGCAAAGCAGGGTGCCGGACCCTCTTTTCCCCTGGGGTAGCTCTTTCCCCCGCAGTGCGGGCCCCCGGCTTTGGAGTGCGGGTGCAAATGAGGGAGAGCATTAGAGAGAAAAACCCAGGCTTTCAACCTGGGAGGGAGGCTCCCAGCCTTTGCGGCGCTGTCTCACGTGAGCCGGGAGGCTGGGGGGGGGGGCGTTTCTGGGATGAAGTGGGGCTCGCTTGCGGCCCACCCGCTGAAGGTCTGGGGTGCCTCACTGCCTCCCAGAGCCCCTGCTGAGCCTAAATCCAGCCGCCACCCAGATGAGGACAGATGCGGCGCCGAGGTTTCATATAACCACTTCCCCTTCTCAAAGAGCGAGCCCCCGGGCGTTTTCAAAATATCCATTAAGCCCCCCCCCCCCCCTTTAACATTCTCTTCCTCCGGCCTTGAAAGGATCAATCAATTTCCTTTTTTTTTCTTTCCTGCTGGGGAGGGAGGGAGGTGGAGGCAGGTGGAGGTGGGTGTGTGTCGGGGTGTCTGGCGCTGGCGTGGGGCTAGACTGGGGTTGGCGGTGGCAACCCCGCCGACGCGCTCGGCCCCAGGGGGAAACGCCTGTAGCTAGCAAGGTAGCGCCTGTAGCTTTCTGGGAGAAAACAAAGATCAGATGTGATCCAAGACACCGGCGACCAAAACTGGGGACGCAGGGAACTTCCTCAGCCCCTCCGGACGCCGACTCCGCAATAAGCAGTCTTTAAAGAACTATGGTCCATTTGAGGGAATTTTCCACCACTGAAAAGAGATAAATAGGAGATAGACGCAACATCCCTAAATTTATAATAATGCGTGTAAACATGCTACATACCACATATATGTATATGTGCATAAATATGGATGTGGTTGGGCACATACCTATCTAGACACCATTGACTTGCCTGGTCAAAGACCAAGGCTTAGACATTTCGTGCCTGGGAAATGGTGCAGTTTATCTTTAAGGATGCTAGAAAAATAAGAGATGAGGCTCACGTTGCACGGATGACATCACTAGCTTTTGGCTGCGCGCTCCGTGTTCTCGTCTGTGGGTTTTAGCCAAGGCTGCAGCGCCCGGCGCCTGAGCGAGCGAGCGCGGCGGCGGCTTCCTCCGGCGCTCGCAGCCGGGCGTTGCGATTTCCCGAGCACCCCGGGCGCCGCCTGGGCTCCGGCTCCCCAGCATCGGCCGGGCCCGCGAGGCCCCGGAGTCGCCGCGGCTAGAGGAGGAGGCAGGGAGGGGAAGCTCAGCGACCCAGCCTCCCTCCCCCACCCTCGCCCCATTCACCTCGGCGGGCACGGGCGCGCCAGGAGCCTGATCGTGGGACGCCGAGACCGGGACGGGATTCTCTGCACGCTGCGGAGTGAGCCGGCGCCTCCCGTCCTGGGTGGGCTGCGAAGAAAATGGTGCAGTCTGAGAGCGGCTGACCCCAGTTGGGTAGAGCAGACAGCTACAGTGCCGGGCTCGGGTGGCGGGAGAAGGGGGCGGATTGTTTTGAAGGGCCGGGGCCGCTGTTTTCCTCGGTGCCTGCAGCATTTTCTTTGCACCTGGGCAGCACGTTCCCGGGGCTACTTGGGAGCCAGATGAAGTGAGGCAGAGGCGTCGCGGGAGAGGCGGGTCTGGAACCTGCCGGGTGGATACTCAGGAAGAAGAGGGCGCTGGGGAGATCGGCATGACGCCCGGGGACTGGCTGCCCAGCTGGCGGTGAGCCCCGATCGCGCGACCTGTCCATGGTGTTGAAGGCACCGCGAGCGGAGCTCCGCGCGCCCCGCGCCGTGCGTCCTGCCCGGTGCACCCTCCTCTGCGCAGCCAGCCCCTCGCGCCCGCCAGCTGCCGCCCAGTCGTCCCCAGTCCCGGGCCAAGGCTCGTCCGGTAACGCCGTCCGAGTGACCGCACCGTCGGCCCGAGGGGCCTCCTGAATGGCGAGGCCAGACGCAGACGACCCGGGAGCCCGCGCGGAGAGGTCGGCAGCGACCGTGTGCCCACGGGCAGCCCGCCTTTGAGCACAGCGCGCTGGCCAGACAGAACAAGGGACCTGCTGGTGACCAGAGGACGGAGATTTTAAAAAGACCCAACCCAGAGAGGAAGAACATTTCTTCGCTTGCAGACCGGAAGGGGGAGAGTCGCTGAGTGGGAGACCCAGGCGGGACTCAGGACAGCCGGCCCTAGCATCTGGAGATTTCCTTCGCTGGCCGGCCGCCTCGCGGGTGCTGGGGTTCATCCGGTCGTCGCGCAGCTCCTCGTGATAGCCTCCATCCCCTCACCCCAAGATAAAGCCAGGCGAGTGGGTCCCGTCGCTACCCTGCACAAAGAAAGCCCGGCAGCCCCACGGCAGCCGAGGGCACTTGGTGTTTAGTTTCTGGCACCAGGGCAGCGGCACCCGAAGCCCGGCTGCGCGCCGACGCGGCCGGTTCGGGGCAGTCGCTTCCTGCCGGGCAGGGAGGGGGCGGGAGGCAGTCTTGTCCGCTCGCCGCCGCCCGAGGCTGCACCTGCCCCGGAGGATGCCCAGGAGCCCGCCCGAGCCTCCCCGGATCAGAACTTTTTAGGCTGCTCGCCCCCATCCCTGCAGTCCCCGGGCCGCGCACCGGCAGGCGGGGGCGAGGGGGCGCCGCCGCGCGAGTCCCCCTCCGGTCCCCCTCCCCCTTGGCTCGGCCGCCCGCCGCTTTGTTCCGGGCGCGCGGAGGGAAGGCGAGGCTGCGGCGGATCATGCCCATGGTGTAGCCGCCAAGCGGAGGCATGGCTGCCGGAAGGTTACTGCTCTATACGGGCCTTTCGCTAGCGCTCTGCGCCCTCGGCATGCTGGCCGTGGCCATCTGCTCAGACCACTGGTACGAGACGGACGCCAGGAAGCACAGGGACAGGTGCAAGGCCTTCAACACCCGCCGGGTCGACCCCGGCTTCATTTACAACAACAACAACAACTTGCCGCTCCGGGCGAGCCGCTCGCGCCTGGACCGCTGGGAGGGCAAACTCCTCCGGGCCCGGAACCGCCGGCAGCTCTTCGCCATGAGCCCGGTGGACGAGTGCAGCCGGCAGTACAACTCCACCAACATGGGTCTCTGGAGGAAGTGCCACCGGCAGGGCTTCGACCCCGAGATCGCAGCCCTTATTCGGAAAGGTAAGCGCGAGGCGCGAGGCGCGAGGCGTGGCGCTGTGGAGAGCCCGGCGCCTCCTAGGCCCGGTCACACTCTCCCTTCGCCTGGCCACAGTCTCCCGGGCCTCCTGCTTCCAGGAGCTCAGGTTATCCAGGCCCCGCTGAGCCTCGGAGTGGCCAGAAGTTGCCTCCCGGTATCTGGTAATGGAGGCTTACCTTTCTCTGGCCGGCCTCTGGTCTTGCGTTGGTCCGCTGGGATTCCCGTGGGATATCGTGGGCCAGGGATTTTAATCCGGGCTAATGCTTCATCAGTCTCAGAACGGAGGGAATCCCTCATGTTGTGTTGTTTGCAGAGGAAGCCCCAAATTGGAGAATGATGTGTCAGGCAGAGAGCCTCCTAGTTTTGATAGTGGTTTTGGATGTTGAACTGATTCAGGGGAAGCATCTCACGGAGAAGGCCTTACTCTCGCCACAGACATTTATTTGCTAAGCGCTAGACTGTACGGAGCACCGTGCAGGCATTGGTCCCATAAACATAGTAAATCACAGCCTTGGCCCCAATGCAGCTGCAGGCCTGGGGACCAAGAGCATCATACCACAATTCTTGAATCCTCCTTCTGGGGAGGTGGTTGACAAAAGTGACTTGTGTGCATCAAATTTTAACAGGGCCTAATAAACACATAAAAAGTAGTTTCTCAGGTAACACCAAAGTGGGCACTTAAGAGGAAAAAAAATGACCATGTTCAGAAGATTTGTATCAAAAATACGTAAAGTATTACAAAACAGAAAACAGACTGCATTTGCGAATGATGAAAATTTTTCGGATACTTGAGTGTGATCACATAATTTTTAAAAAGTCTCCTCATCTGATGCAATTTGTAAGATCTTGGCTGATTTAGACTTTGGGGACTACCCTGTTCTGTTAATCCACTGAAATATTGTTTGGACATATATTAATATTGCTCTGGAGAAGGGAATGCGTTCTCTTCTATGGTAGTTGCATTCTGGAAGCTATGGTGTGATTTTCTGGGTCTTGTTCCCCCCCCCCCCAGCTGTGTGTCAGTCTCCTCAACTATTCAGTGGCGAAGCCAGGGTGAAAATGATGTTGTTATCTGCAAAGTCTTTGAGGCCCTGATGGAAAACACTTCTTACTGTCCCTTAATATTATAATGCAGGTTTGCTGCTGTTTTAAAATATTATTTGTGAGAACTGATGTCCTTTGATTTAGAAAAATGTTGAAATTGATCAGAAAAAATAGTTAATTTGAAAAAAAAAAAAAGTCAATTGTTTAGGAATGATAAGCAGTGGGTATGGTCTCGGTGGCTAGTCAGATGTAGGTGAGCTAAGTCCAGAAGGAGAATCCATCTTCATTTTTGCTTTGCAGTTTCTGTGGAATGACTAGGGATTTTAGCTCATTCCATTGTGAGTGTGTTATTACTACAAACATCACCACTGCTTCATGATTAGGCTGATGTTAGAGCAGGGTGACCCATTTGGAGCTCCACAACTTTGTAAAGACATGCAGGATATTAGAGCATTCCAGAAGAGAGTAACTTGGTTTGGATTTGGAAATAGGAAAGCAAGAGAAAACAGAATCGTTTGACAGTGGGTGACTGTAACAGTGTTCAGATTCACAGATTCGTGAAGTGTTCTGTCCTTTCTTGTTCTCTGCATTCATTAAAATTGACATGGTAGGAAGTTAGCTGAAATGAGAGGAAGAATTCATGTTAATAATGACTGATAAACAGTGGTAGGACTTGCTGAAGGACATTCTTGCATTTCCTTTTTTAAATGTCTCTTGCAACAAGATGGGTTGGGTATCCTGCTGTCTGGCATTGGTTCACTCCACTCAGAAAAAGGGGGGTTGGAATCCCTGCTTTCTGGTGGTTCCATTGAGGGCTTTGATTCCATGTTGCTTTGCCTGGCAATCTGGCTAGAAGGGTTGACTTGGTCTGTGCACCAGAGATGTTCGTTACCATAGTGACATGTTCTTCCGGTGAAGCTGGAAACAGAGACAGGGAAAGGGATAGGGGAAGAGTGTACAACATTTTGACTTTGTATCGACTGATTGTTAATTGCAGCAACAGAAAATGGACACGGCTCAGCAGGGGGATTGAATACACTGATACCCAGTGTTGGCAGAACCTTGTATTTCACTTGAACTAATGGAGACGCTCTTCCCCATCACCCAAAATACAGCAGTCACTGTCAGCTGCGAACAACCGCTTACCACAGCCGTTTCTGTCCGTTTGACGTTCTTGTTAGGTATTATTGAGATAGATGGCATGCCAGCCCTACAAATCTCGGGGGACTTAAGGTCACTATCTTCATTTTTAACCTCAAAACATAATCTGTGAAAGCTAGATCTTCTCTTTTCTAAGCAACAAGAGACACATTTTGGAAATAAGTGCATCTTATATTAGTAGAATTCACAAGCAATTCCAATAACATAGAACATCATTTCTAGACTTAATCAGCGTTCTTCCTAGATTGGCAGATTTAGGAAGGAAGTAAAAAAAGGAATGGATATCCCTGTATTTAAATTTGAGGCAGGCAACTTAGGGAAAGATACTTACCTCGTAGTATTCATTAGTAGCCTCAAAAGATTTTGTTAGTCCTTTGTCTTTCAGGGAAACATCTTAGATTCAAATTCTGGGAGATACATGTTGGGTAAGGGGGAAGGGAAACCAGAGAAAAGACTGTGTAAAATCTGTCAGTATTATGGGAAAACTAGAGATTTATCTAAATGATTATACAGCCCCATGTAACTCAATCATTTGCTAATCAATGTTCATTACATTAGAAAGTGCTATTTGTGCATTTTTAAAATAAAACAAAACCACATAATTAATAAGAAAACAGAAGTCAAATCTATATCTGATTTGAAGATGAAGTCCTTTGGATGCATGTTCTCTCTGAAATCCATTTCTTCAATGCCTGCTGCCATGATTGTACCAAAAAATATGCATTTCTGGTCACTGTGTATTTATTTGTTTGTCTTATTGAATGTAAGTTCCTGAAGGGCAGGAAAGAAAATCATTTGTAAAACACATTCACCAGAATGTATTTTGGTCCTTGAGAAATATCTCATACAAATAAGGTTCACGGAATTGTATCCATCAAAAGCTTATTCTAATTGTAGGAACACTTGTGTGGGAATCCAAATAAAGGATTAGTTAGAAAATTGTGATTAAAAAAAAAATGAACCAGGGTGGCTCCCAGGGCAGATTAATATTGCAGCAGATGCTACATAATTTAACAAGGAAGTTTTTTTGAGCCCAGAAGTTTTGCTAAGGAATAAGGGAAACAATACTTTTTTTTTTTTTTTGGATAGTGTATTTTACTGAACAGACACGTATCACCCACAATCATTATTTTTCATATTAGATAAGATTTTGATGATTTCCTTCTTAGAGGTAGGATTGGGTTGAGGGTGAAGCAAGGATAGATCACCCTTGAATTCCCATATGACTGTGTCCATAATCGAGTCCTCTTGTCTTCTTGCTTTCCGACCGTGTCAGTTCTCTCTACTAAGTCTCTGCAAGCGAGGTGGTGGTGGTGCGGGGGGCGGGGGGAGACAGATCCATGACAGGATCAGTTTCTGAAATCCAAGAGACTTTCAGACCCTTAGGAGGAGCAGCTACAGGTAGGATTTTGTTCCAGGGAACATTTATATTCTTTGATTTGTTCTGAAATGTTATACTGCTGTGGCTTAAAATAAAGAGACCTTCAACTGAGACTCTAAAAACTTTTTTTACTATTTGAAAATAGGCCTTATAAGAGATTTGATCTTTATAATCAGGGAGTGGTTGTTGGTATACTGAGGCTTAATTTAACAAAGCATCACATATAGTGATAGGTGATAGTGATAGGATACTGCGCTCAGAAGTTAGGTACTGTACATATATTATGTGATGGGCACACATCACAAGAACTCGGCGATGAATAAGACCTGGTCCTTAAAATACCCCCAGTCTGTTAGGGTCACGGGGAATATGTGTCAGCTATGGGGTGATGAGAGCAGCAGAAAAAGATGCAGAGAAGCACGGAGCAGGCAGTGATGGATGGTGTTGGCAGTGGGGTGAGAGAAGCCAGGAGGGGGTTGGGGACAGTTGCCCGGAGGAAGTGAAATCTGAACACAGTTTTCATGAAGTTGGGAGGTGGATGGCGAGGAAAGGGCATTTGAGGCCACAAGGGCAACATCTGCATAGGCATGGAGGTGTGAAACAGCAGTCCAGCCTTTTGAGTGTTGACTGCTGGAGGGAGGGAGAGGAGCCGAGCGTGGAGCTGCAGAGCAAGGAAGAGCCAAGGCCAGGGGCTTGCATACTCAGTAGGGTAGCCACTAGCCACAAGTGGCTATTTAAATCTTTAAACTAACCAGTATTCAATGAAATTAAAAATTTGTTTCCTTAGTGGTGTTGGCCACATGCAAACATTCAAGAGCCATGTGTTGCTAGTGGCCATCGTATTGGACAGTGCAGATGAGAGAACGTTCCTATCATCATGGAAGGCTCCATTGGACAGTGCTGCACGGAGCCTAGAGCCTCTGAAAAGAACAAGCACATACTTCGTTTCAGGTGAGGACGATCAAACATGATGACTGGAGCTTAGATTTAAGTATATGGTTCTATCCTTGAACAAACTTTGCTACTTGAATGTTTTGGGCAGAAGGTTTGAGTTCGTGATCAGTTACACTAAATCTATATTTTATGCATGTTCCATCTTTGACTCACAGAATTCTCACATGCTCCTCTGTTCTCTCCTCTCCCTCTCTCAACTCCATTAAAAGAAACTAGTTGTCGATCAGGCAGGGAGGATTAATAATAAAAATTGGAGACTTGCTGCCAGGTACTCCTCTTAGAGTTTTACATATTTTAGGTAATCTGTTCTTTTTTTTTTTTTTTAAGATTTTATTTATTTATTTGACAGAGAGAGAGATCTCAAGTAGGTAGAGAGGCAGGCGGGGCGGGGTGTGGGGTGTGGTCAGCAGGCTCCCTGCTGAGCAGAGAGCCTGATGCGGGGCT